GATGATGTGGAGATACCAACAAAGAAGAAGAAAAAAGGAACAGAGAAAAAGAAAGAGTTTAAAGATGAAGGTGAAGGTTTCAGAAATACTGAAGCTTTTCAGGAAAACCTTGAGAAAACTTTGGAATCCAGTTGTGCAAAAAGAAAAAAGCACAAAAAGTCATCTCAAAGAGATGAATCTAACACTCCCGAAGATGAAGAAAATCCACAGAAAACAGATGAGATTGAAGACCATGATGCTGGTTTACTGATGACCAAGAAGAAGAAGAAGAAAATGAAAAAAATGTCAAGCATGGAGGGCTCCAATGACACTGTGGCACAAAGCTCTGATCTGTTGTCTGTGCAGCGGAAAAAAAAGAAGAGGAAATCTTTCTTCCTCGGTGCTGATGTCGAGGGAAAAGCTGCTCATTCAGAGGAAGAAAAACATTGTCCTTTGCAATCTGTGGCTGCTGAAAAGCCAGGCGTCAGCACCGGCAGTCCTGCTGAATCAGCAGAAATCACTGTAAGTTTGGACGAATCTAATGACAGAGTCAGGAAAAAGAAGAAGAGGAAAATGTTAACTGAACAAGAGAGTGTGGAAAAAGATCCGGAACCAGATTTTGAGGAACTTGAGGAGGCCCTGTCTGACACAGGGCTGAAGAAGAAGAAAAAGAAACGTAAGAGGAACGAAACCAAGTCAGCGACCCCTGTGAAAGAATCAGAAAATGCTGATACAAGATGCTCTGATGAGGCTGTGGTGTTAAAAAAGAAGAGGGAAAAAAATATCCAAGAAACTCCAGCAGCTGCAAGTGAAGAAACTGAATCGGAAAGTCTGTTTGAACATGCTTCACCATCTTTAGATACACCCAGAAAAGACAGCAAAAAGAAGACAAAGGGGAAATCTGCTCATAATGTTTCACTATGGAGTAAAGAACAATCTTATGGATGTTTAATCACATCCAAAGAAGGGCGTGAAACTGACATGAAAGAGCGAAAACGAACAGCTGATTGCAGTTTCACCACGCAGTTGTCAAAGACTTCTGCGCTGCCCTCTCCACACAGCATCAAGAAAAACAAGCCAAAAAAGCTCAAGCGCACCCTTCATAATCCCAGTGGGGACTTTCTTACACACAGTCAGTACCAGTAAAATAGCTCTCATCAGTCACTGGGACACAAACACCCATCAGTGTTTTTACAATGTAACTGCTGAGTGACTTTTTACCATTTTATTTTGTGTCAAAACATTTTATTATAATGGCTCTGTGAGCTTTTTAATGGTGAAAAGCATGTCATCAAAACAAACCATGATGGATGATTTTAATACTTTTTTTTTTCACAATAAAAGTTTCTGAATACTAAAGTCATTATTCATTTAATAAGTAATTATTTCAAAGAAATGTACTTTTAGCTATGCAAGTTAATACCGCATTGAATATATATCAACAATCTGCTTGGGAGTTTGCTGTTTGGAGTTTTAATTTGACCTCAATACCATCTAACCCAGCGGTCCCCAACCCCCGGGCCTCGGACCAGTACCGGTCCGTGAGTCGTTTGGTACCGGGCCGCGAGAGTTGAGGCTCCGGTGTGAAATGTATGGTTTTCAGGGTTTTTATTGTTTTTCAGCGTTATTTTGTTATCGTTTTTATCGTAAACTCTGTTTTCCTGGGTCTTTTCACGTGTGTTATGAATAAATCTTCTTTTTTTCGGTACCGGTACTAGTTTTATTTTGTTGTATTTAAAGCCGGTCCGTGAAAATATTGTCGGGCATAAACCGGTCCGTGGCGCAAAAAAGGTTGGGGACCACTGATCTACCCTGATGAAATGATAAATTATTTAGTTTTTCCATGACTGGGTTTTTAACTTTACTCTATGGCAGTCTGTGTAGTTTACAGTATTGATCCGTGTTTTTATGCTTAAGTAATTTAAGCTTCTCCAGCTCCATAGTCAACATCCATTGTCCAGTATATCCACTATCTGCTGCACATGTCCAAACCATCTCATTCTTGCATCTCCAGCAAGGATGCTGCTGCCGTCATCACTTCTTCTTGATACTTGAATGGTACTCATGGCCATTGGTCATGAGTATTTGCATGTTAATGATCAAGGAACTGACCTCCCAGCCCATTGTTCCTTCAGTGGTGCTAGTTTCAGTTATTATGCAAAAGTACTGTTTATAAGATTGGGGAAACGTGCGGTCAGCTGAGTCTAAAGAAGTGACCTGGATACGTTTCTCCCACTGAAAACGCTGCGTCTAGATGAACAGGATCCTCTTTTGGGTGTTCTAAGAATGTAGTCCACTGGTGTGCACTTCCTTCAATTCCCTCCATGCATCACCCTATGTTCCTCTCTCTTGTTGAAGTACTTATTATAGAATAAGTACTTAAACAATTATTGAATGAGTGTGCTTTTTTTGTTCTGTGACCCATTCATTCATTACTCAAAGCTTTCCAACCAAGTCCTCTTTGGTGACATCTGGTGTCCAAAAATATGTTGAGCAGCTTGAATCTACAACTTGATATGAACTGCTTCGCTGTGATTGCCCACTCGATAGGGTTAAATTGACAGCTTCTCTTTAATATCACGTGACTGTTCTGTGTGATATTGGGCCGTTGTGGTGCTTTGAACATATATTTTTGGGGGTGAAAAAGATGATTTTGTGTCTTTTGATTACTAAATGATTTTAAGAAATATACCTTTGTTGTTTGAACATGTGCCCCAGAATACCTGAAAAACATTTTTGCAAAAAACATCCAATGCAGGAAGGCACAAGATGCAAAAAGAAATGTTAATAGTTCCACTGTAACTTGTCCTGAGGAAGACTGACTGTGGAGCAGAGCCAAGCAACTGTGTCAGTCTCTCTCTCCTCTCCAGTGAGGAGAGAGAGACCATTACAAAGTAAGTATATAAGAGAACGAAAAAAAAGTGACAAAAAATAAAATAAAACCCGGCTCCTTATAAAATAAACAATTACTCAAGAAATGCTCAACAGGGAAAAAAATATCAAACGAAACCTCAAATTGAAGAAATTGAGGTTCAAATACAATTAAGTATGACACTGTAACAAAAATATTTTACTTAATGGTAGCATGTTAACTTCAGTCATTGTGATTCATTGGTACAGTATTGACAGTTTAACACAAATATTTCTTTGGGAAAAGAAAACTACGGAAACACTGACTGAAGTGAAGCTTAGCAACTGTTTGTTTTAATTCTTTTGCCCACATATACATGTATACATAGATATGTTTTATATTGTAAATGATAAGGGTAGGCACCCTTTGCTTTGTTGACAGCGCTGCAAACTTTGCCTTCTCTCAATAAGCTTCATGGTGTAGTAACCTGAAATGGTTTTCACTTCACAGGTGTGTCTTGTTAAGGTTCATTTGTGTAATTTCTTGCCTTCTTAATGGGGTTGGGACCATCAGTTGTGCAGAAGTCAGGACTGTCAGTTATGTACCAACCAACTTTTAGAATTCATATTATGGCAAGAACCAATCAGCAAAGTCCAGAGAAACGATAGTCCATCATTATTTTAAGAACTAAAGATCAGTCAGTCTGAAAAATTGCTAAAACTTTGAATGCGTCTTTGTGTAGCTGCAAATACCATCAAGCACTGATGAAACTGGCTCAAATGAGGACCACTCCAGAAAAGGAAGACCAAGAGTCAGCTCTGGGGCTGAGGATAAATTCATCCGAGTCACTAGCCTCAGAAATTGCAAATTAACAGCACCCCAGAGCCCAGATAAATGCCACACAGAGTTTGAGTACCAGACACATCTCTACACCAAATGTTCAGAGAAGACTGCGCAAATCAGGCCTTTATGGTCAAATAGCTACTAAGGGAAAGCAAGCAGAGATTTGTTTGGGCCAAGAAACAATTTGAGTATCCACATGCAGCACAGCAAACCAGTGAGGGCTGTGGTTTGCCATTTCTACATCATTGTGGTTGCCAAATCATTTTAATATGACCTGCCTGACAAAGCGGAGAAGACCAAAAGATCCTCAAAAGCCAGACATCATGCCATGATCCAAGGTAATTCAGGAACAAATGAGAAACAAATTAACTGAGATTATCAGTCCGGAAAAGGTTATAAAGCCTTTTATAAAAGCAAAAAAAGAAGCTTTGGACCCCCCAAGTGTTCATGACTCCAATATAAGAAAGAGACTGTTGGCAAAAATGGCCCGCATGGCAGTGTTCCAAGATGAAAACCATCGCTAAGGCAAAAGGAACAAAGTCTCATCTCAATTTTGCCAGAAAATATCTTGATGACAGGGTCGCCACCAAAATTGACCCCCCCCAGCTCCCCCTGGCAAGTCTGTCCTATGTTAATAATTTTAATAAACATAAGCACAGAGAAAGACACCCGACAATGAGTTGAAAGATTAGCTTATTTATTCCTACATAATACAATTTGTCATTTGTATTGTCACTTTGTATGTTCCTCACAATTTCTCATCATCCTCCAATGTGGTTGAATTACAATTTCTCCTTCATGCAAACACTAGTATTGGTGTCATCCATTGGTGAGAACAATGTTAACATACTGTACAACCAAATTAGTTCCTAGAACTTAAATTATGCAAACTCATTGCCTCAAAACAAAAAAAACCAAACAAAAACCCACAAGTAAAACTTGATAACCAAGCTAGGACAATTTATTCATGGAGTACCCAGTACTTAGAATAATTAGATTTTTCTGAATGAAACCTATCCACATAGAAATCGAATGCAACTAGATCACATTATGTTTTATTATCCTCGAAATTAAAGACATTTTGTAATGCAGTTGAAATCAGACCAACTTTTATTTTCAAATGCAAAAAATATTTATTAGTCAACATACTGGACACATTAATGACAAACAAGTATATTCCCACTATTGTAGCTTGTGTTATTTAATTATACTTCAAATATTATCAAATTCCATCTATCCATCCATCCATCTTCATCCGCTTTATCCGGGGCCGGGTCGCAGGGGCAGCAGCCTAAGCAGAGAAGCCCAGACCTCCCTCTCCCCAGCCACCTTCTCCAGCTTATCCGGGGCAACACCAAGGCGTTCCCAGGCCAGCCGAGAGATCTAATCTCTTCAGCGTGTCCTGGGACATGCCCGGAACACCTCACCCAGGAGGGATCCTTATCAAATTAAATTTTCATATTTGTTAAACAATTTAAAACTTTAATAACCTTACAAAAAAACAAAACCAAAGTCTCAGATTGAATTATTTTGAACCCAAGTTTAAGCAGTTCTGCTCAGTCCAGGCATTACAGCCTGAAAGACTGTCATGGATTAAGGTAATGAAAATGCAGTGATCGCAGAAAGTTCAACTTCCCTTATGTACAGTGGCAGTGAATGTGGGATGGAGATGCAATGGTCTTGAATCTGCAGGTGACTTTCTTCACTGAACACCATCTGTGATGGAGGGCTCGTCTCTCCTGGTATCCTATAAGGAAACAATCATATTCTTTAGAATGCCACATTACATTTGCTCTTCTTAAAACATTTTTTTCCTGCATTTGCTACAGAACAGACCTCAAGATAGACAATCAAGCTGAATCATTGCACTGTTACAAAACATCCATCCATTTTCTTCCATTTATCTGCAGTTGGGTCCCAGAGGCAGGATCCTAAGCAGAGCACCCCGGAACTCCCTCTGCCCAGCCACCACCTCCAGCTTATCCAGGGGAACTCCTCCCAGTGGGACATAGACACGTAGACAAAACCTGCTGGTACCCTTTGGTCAATGAAAGGAAAAAGTCACAATGGTCACAGAACTAACTAATCTGACTAAATAATAAAAATTCTATGAATGTTAACCAATGAACGTCTATCGTTCGAGCGTGTAAAGCAAAGATCGCACCATCTGTTGTTGTTTGAGCCAGAGTGGACTACATAGGAGATGACCAAGGAGGACACCACCAACAAATCACAAAAAGGCACATCAGCTCCATGTTCACAGAAGGAAAAATGAAGCATATCAAGAAAAGTACACTGTCCCTACTGTGAAACATGGAGAGGGATCTGTTATGTTCTAGGGCTGCTTTGCTGCATCTGGCACAGGGTGTCTTGAATCTGTGCAGGGTACAATGAAATTTCAAGACCATCAAAGGATTCTAGAGAGAAATGTGTTGGCCAGCGTCAGAAAGGTTGGTCTCAGACGGAGGTCATGGGTCTTTGCAATAGGACAATGACTCAAAACATACAGCTAAAAAACACCCAAGAATGTCTAAGAGGATAACATTGGACTATTATAAAGTCGCCTTCTTGGAGCCCTGACCTCAATCCTATTGGGCATCTTTGGAAGGAGCTGAAACATGCTGTCTAGAAAAGGCGCTCTTCAAAAGAGGAAAATACTGGAGCAGTTTGCTCATGAGTGGACCAAAATACCTGCTGAGCTTTGCAGAAGTCTCATTGACAGTTACAGGAATAGTTTGATTGCAGCGATTGCCTCAAAAGGTTGTGCAACAAAATATTAAGTTATAAATTAAGTTATTAATAAATTTTACTTCCTTACTACTTACTAAATATCTTGTTTCCCACACTGAAGATTAACAATATATTGGAAAAGCAAAATACTTACCACTCAGTTGACATCTTTCTGTCCAACAGCTCCTTTTCTAGACTCAAGAGTCTCCAGAGTCACCAGAGCCTCAAAGAAAGTAAAAAGCAAGAAGAGGGAAAACCAGCAAATTATTTAGAAGCTGATTCGATTCTTAAAGGCTGTCCAGCCATTATAGCTGACAACATAGAAACTGAATATTAATCTCATACAGTCAAATTACACTATAGCAGGAGTTGGCAACTTTTCTGATGATTAGTGCAATCTAAAAATTCTTCAGAAGTTAATGTGTCACATCAACCAACTTTTTTCAACTAGCCAACCTTTTTCCTACATCAAACCCTGCCCCTGGCTGTGGAATGCAGGCAGTCGTAAGAAGGGAAACTTGTTGGAGTTCTAAATGTCACAACTTGACAGTTGTCTCTGCTTTCACATTTTTCAGCTCAATCTCCCTGGCTCTGGCCAGCTCCGCCCATAAGTTCTAGCTCCTCCTTCAGATGAAACTCTTTCGCATTTCTCTCTCTCCAGCTGGAGATGAGCCAGATGAACTCGTAGCCTAGCATCCTGCTTTGAACCCAAGGACTATCGAGAGTGGCTCAAAATGAGGCAGTGTCATTGGCAGTCTCCTCAGGCAGTCCCTGAGCAAGAGGCGTGGACACATACAGTGCTATATTTTGATCTGGCAACAGGGGAACATGCTAAGATGCTACACCATGCTCAGCCAACTCAGGTGGACTGGGAGACATTTGCAAGGCCAATATCCCCTTATCCACCAAGCCAGACACCAGAGCAGCTTTTAGCTCAGCTTTATGCAGAACTATGGAGACCCCAATCCCGTAAAATGATGCCACCTCATGCAAATAGTTTTTCCTACAGGCATCGAGCTGGGCAAGCGACGGGTTAGCCGTAAACACAGAAATATCTAATGTAGACATTCAAACATAGTTTAAAAAAAAAAAAAGAAAGAAAAGAAAACCGGTCAATAGCACACAAGCCAGCTACCCTAGGGCTACCAATAAACGAGAACCTTCCCCAAACACACACACACACACACACACACGAGAAAAATCTATAACAACGGGGTTATCCAATAAATAAAAATACCACTGAACCTCTCCCCAGTCCTACCTACCCTTGAATGCTAGCCTACCTAGCTTCTGGAGTGTACCAGGCTCGAGGCAACTTTAAAGGCAAACTTTCAGTGCTCAAAGCACTGAAAAGCCTACCCCCAACAGGGACCCAAATCCCCACCCGGGATTACTCCGAAAATAACAAAGGCAAAATAAAAAACGAGTGCCTGAAGGAAGAGCTTACACTCAGCTAGACACTCCCCTGTGCTAACTGGGGAGAGCGTCCCAAATACACCAAAGTTAAACAACGGACCCAAAACCTGATACCCAGCCATTTCAGTTTCTTTCATTCAAATCCCGTTGTATGCAACTAAAACATGTTTATGTTTACTTGAATAGAAACAGTTTACAGTTCTATAATTAGCCACAGATTTTACATTTTTCTTCAAATTTGTTTAGAAAGATTCCACTTAAACTACCCTTAAACGTACTATTCTCTTAAAGATAATGTCAATAGCAAGAGGTGGACCTATCAGCATTGCCTAGCTATACACCAAATAGAGCCACACAGGTCAGAGATGGACAATAGTCACCTGAGCAGGACAGTAGGGCTGTGTGATTTGACAAAATATATCAGATGACAGAATTGAAACATCTACCATTTAACATTATACTCTAATTTGTTTTGTGGTGTCAAAATACACAGTTTACAGCAAAAAAAATAAAATAAAATAAAATTTCATCGTTTGGATGGTCACCATGTGGATGCAGGCACAGAATACCAGCATGGCCATTGAGGATGAGGCAGAACCAGGTAGCTCCAAACAGAAGGACCAGTCAAAACAACTCAAGGACCTTAGTCCTTGGGTGGCTGTAGCTCAGGAGTGTAGGTGCAGGTAGAGCAAGTCATCTACTGATCGGAAGGTTGGTGGTTCGATTCCTGGCTTCCCCTAGTCTGCATGCCAAATATCCTTGGGCAAGATACTAACCCCAAATTGCTCTCCGATGCATCCATCGGAGTATGAATGTGTGTGAATGTTAGCTATAAAGCACTTATAAAGATATGCTTGTGCGAATGGGTGAATGCACAAGTTGTGTAAAGCGCTTTGAGTGCTCAGATGAGTAGAAGAGCGCTATATAAGAACCAGTCCATTTACCATTTAAAAAAAAAAAAAAAAAAAAAAAAAAAAAAAAAAGGATGAATAGTGTTAGTGTGTCCCGTGCTGTTAAATCTCAGTGTGACGTTTGTATCTATAAGTTTAAAAATTGCGTGCCGTTTTGTCTCTATGAAACGTACGTACTACATTGAACAGCATAGTACACCACTAACTGTTCTGCACTCCACATTTCCATTTAGCTTGTGTTAATCCCTACCACCTTTAAGTTATCAACACTGTAGTTTCGAAGGTGGCTTTTATTTTTAAATCAGGTCTCAAGGTCTCTTGCCATAATACTTGGTATAAACACATAATGCAAAACCAAGTGAGGGCTGGCTTGACTGTACTTCTCAAATTGGAGATTAAGCTTGACACCAGTTAATGATTTGCTGCACTTTCCAGCGTTGTGTCAAAGTAGTTACCCCCAGCAAAAATTGTTTCCCCATCCATGAGAGCACGCAGGAGGAGGAGCCACATGCTAGGCTCAGTTACTGTATGCTACTTGTTACTGATCTGCACTTGTTGTAATAAACCCCAAAAGCTGAAAAACACACTTGCCAGGGTTTCTACTGGCCAGGGATGTCAGCAGACATCAATAATTCGGTGGGTACTCAAACTCTGAAATTTTACTATAGCCGACTTATTTTAAGATGAACACAATTTTCTGTCTCTCTCAAAATAATTGATATAAAACTTGACCATCAACTGGTGAGTTTCTTAATTGCTTTTGTTTTTGATCAGGGTTCCCAGTGTCCAGTTTGCCAGGCAAGTGCTGCAACAATTTAAAAAACAAAAACAAAAAACAAAACAAAACAAACAAACCACATTCCCATAAAGTGAGTCAATCACTGAAAATAATCACATTTAATCACAGAATGTTTTGTTTAGAAACCTGATTGATTTGTATACTTCAAAAATAAGAGTAGGAGATTAGCATTCTGTGTAATTTCAATATTATTAATGTAAATATGTTTTTCTAGTTAAGATTTCTCAGCCATTTGAATTGGTTGGAATGGACCTTATTGGGAGACTTACAGAAACCAAAAGGGGACATCAGTATATTTGTGTTTTCATTGACTAGTTCAAAATAGCAACAGGGATCCCCATTGAAGTCTAAATCAGCAAAGGAAGTGACAAACTGATCAAATTTGTCCATCAGTTTGAAGCACCTAAAAGGGTTCTTAGCTCGCAAGGAAAGGAATTTGTCAATTCTATAAGCACTTCAGTCTTTGGCAAACATTGTTATTGGCATGTAACACATATTTTTAAAAAATTATATACATCTGTAAGGTTCTACTTCTGGTTTCTATAAATCTGTTTGTGATATTTGTGTGACTGCTGTATATTTCAAATCTTATTGTAATGTACTTAGAGTCAGTATATTTTACTTGCCGTTGCAGCTCAAAACGTTATGCAGAATGTTACACAGAAGAAACCTCTGCTCCCCATATCATCCACAAACAAATGGCTCGGTAGAGAGAATGAACAGCACCATCCAGAGGTAAATTCTTTGTTATATTCTGTAATAGACCACACCAAAGCCTGATACTTTGAGTACATCCAGCTTAATGCGTGAAACATTACAGTTTTATGGGGTTCCCTTCCACTAAAACATTAAGGTATGACATTTAAAAGCCAAAAAGGAAAATGATGTCATATGAATGTTTTGCGTGTGCCTTTATTGTCAGAGCCCTCTGTAAAGTTGTTGGTGACCAACCAGAAACATGGGATGACTATCTGGATGTTGTGATGTTTGGTCTCAGAACAACAACAAACAACAAAAAAAAAAAAAAGAAAAAAAGAAATAAAAGCAAATGACCACTGAAGTACTCATCCCATTACCTGATTTTTGGCAGAGAGGCTTGTTATCCATATGAAATCCCAGAACACTACATGGTCTTTCTGTCTGTGACAAACTACAGGAAAATCCTACGCAAAGCACCATAGTAAGTTTTTGATGCACATGCAGAACAGTTTCAATGCATGCTACATCACCACCTTAAAAGCAACAATTTTATCAGATCCAGGGTCAGAAGCTACAGCAAAGGAAGAAAACGCCACCAGAACCAGCCCCCAAAACCAGTACGCGCTGCAGGTCCACAAGCCAAATCACAAACAGCAGCAGACCCAGATCCAAAAGCTACAACTCCACCAGTGACTACTCCCCAGGTTGTAGCACCACAAGCATCAACTACGCCTAAGCAATCTACAGCACAAACTGTAGAAGCAACAGTACTACCAGCAACAGCCTCACAAGCTACTCCTGCACCACTTCCAGCATCATCACCTCAAAGATATTCTCAAGCTGTTGCAGAGAAATGGAAAAAATAAAAAATAAAATAATAATTCTTTGTTATTGTGTAAACCAGAATGTTCAGAATTGACATTGTACAATTGTACCCTGTCTGGCAACATTTTGATCTCATCTCTCCAAATAAGGTATGCACACAGTAATAAATATCACAAATGATAAGTACCATAATATAAATAAACCACACCCCAGATCCTATAATCTGATTTCTGTCTTTTAGTTTATTGAAAGGTGAAGTGTTTGCTGTGCTCCAAAGAACTTTAATACAGCAACAACACCTCATCTATGCTGAGGCCTTACAGAGCCCTGCGCGAAAACAAGGAGGCTATCCAAGGTGGACCAAGCTCAGTTAAGTTTTTTTAGGTTGTAAGGATACAGTCATTTTATACATTTAGATTCCCCATGTCATTCATTTATATTTGGCTTGTAATTACAATATATGTAATTTCTCAATGTTTTGTTTGTTTTATCAGGGGAGAGGAATGATGTGGATGAGGCCTTGGTCAACATGGTGATTCCCAGCCCTTCACTATTGTGGAGGACAGTGGGTTTAGAAAGCTTGTTAAAGCTTTGAACCCTAACTATGTTCTCCCCACAAGTCAGGTGTGTATCTTAAAATATGAAGCATGTTTGCAGTTTTCCTATATTTCCATATTAAGAGTAGCACTTTCTTTTGTTTAGGATTTGAACGCTATGGTGGTCCAAACATACAAAGATTCCAAACAAACAGAAAAACTGACTGTGGCAAAGACTTCTGCAGTTAGTTTGACATCTGATATGTGGACCTCCATTAACACAGAGGCTTACCTAGCTGTCACCTGCCATTTCATCGATTCTAACACTGCATTGCATTCTGTGGTGTTAGGTGTTCAGCACTTCCCTAAAGCAAATACTACTATCAATTTGTCCCAAGTAACAGCAGCGCTCATGTCAGAGTGGGGCATTACAGACAAAGTTACATGTTATGTGACTGATGGAGCAGCAAACATGGGTGCTCATGCAAAGGAACTTTGTTTGTGTCACAGTAATTGTGAGGCGCATACATCGAACCTAATGGTCAAAAGCTCTTGATCAACACACCACGCTGTCTGAGATCCAGACCACCTGTAGGAGGATAGTGGGATATTTCAACGTTTGTTCCATTAGTTCATTACTGCTTTAAACACTTAAACCCCCGGAGAGCAGCCATTTGGCTTTTCTAACAGGGTTCCATCTCTAAATGACGGCTGGTCAGCAAACCTGGGAAACCCACAGATAATTGGAACTATGGCACGAAACAGCTTCCAAGACATCATGCAACACCTACGCTTTATGACAAGTCCACCCGCAGTGATCGAGCAAAGACTGATAAGT